AACAGGTGTAGCAGCTGCTTCACTTGGTGTGTGTGTGTGTGTGTGTGTGTGTGTGTGTGTGTGTGTGTGTGTGTGTGTGTGTGTGTGTGTGTGTGTGTGTGTGTGTGTGTGTATATCTATATGATTTATCTGCATAATGCTAGTGAGTCAGTTAGCCCTATAGCCATGCAATGACAACAAAACAGCAGCGACTACATAAAATTTGCATTCAACCTATCTTCCTCGACCTTCATGAGATGAATCACTATACCTTCTCAGGTGTTTTAGCTGGACACAGTTATAAATACATGCGTCCTGCAGCATGCTGTAGGTAATCACGCAGAAGAGCTATGCAATGGGTGAGAGATTTGCAGGAGGGAGCTGACAGGTTCCTTTTCAGACAGTTACACATATCTGGAGCCCTGTGGTGAGAATGTAAAATGGTGAAGACTAATGCTTCTGTCCCCACTAATGGTGCAGTCACAGTACACTAGAGGGAAACATCTCTATAACAAGCAAAAGCGAGTATCTTCATCCATGGAATCTTCACCACAGCTCACACATGCATGTTTTCCTGTTTGTGGTATCAATCACATCAATTAAGAAGAGAAGCTTATCAGATAACAGAAATCCTATTCGCCCCACAGTGAGGACATTTACTGTAAAGGAAGAGTGCAGATAAAAGGAAAAAATGAAATATGTAGGTTAACATATTACATAAGAGAGGCAAGCACAGCAAAGAAGCACAATGGATATTAATGGACTCACATCTGAACCTAAAATAAATTAAATGTCTGGAATTTTCCAGCATGACAGTTGTCAAAAGGAAGCTGAACCAGGGTGTGACAGGAGGTCTTTGGTTTCAGGCTGAAGGGATGGGGGTGCGATTAATCATTGGAGAAGTTGCATGCGGGTGGGGGTTGTAGCCAAGGAGGGGTTGCGGTCAAGTACAATGCCGTTCCAAGGGGGTTGCTGTGACAGGCAGTAGTTTAAGGAAAGACTGTAGGGAACAGAGCGGTGTGTGGAGAGATAAAGCAGGAGACCTGACTGACACCAAAAAGCTCCGTTGAGGCAAATCTTTACTGCAGAGCCTGAGCAAAGTGCTGAGGGGATAAATCATGGGTGTGTGCAATGAACAAGGGTAAGAATATTTAAATTGATTCAGAGACTCTTGGATGGTTCTTTAAGAAATGCTAAATTGACTTTAAACTTTTTAAAGGGATGTTTTGTAATAGCAGCAAGGTATTAGCACTTGATATTGTGATTATACATCACACGATTAATTAAAGCATAGTTTCTAAATTAGCTATACAAACCGTGGTTTTATATGTGTATATATAAAGTGAAAATGTATACCATCAATTTTAAATTATATAGTTGTTACATCTCCTCATTGTTTTCCACAAATATATTTTATTTTATTATTTTATATTTGTAAATGTTATTGCTATAATCTTACGTATTACATCCGGTTATTTTTTATAGCACATATATTTAATGATAATTGTTTTCGGGAGCCTGAGAACTAATATTTACATGACTACATGATTTGATGACTGCTTTAATATAATTGCTGTGCATATGACAACAAAGAACTTGCCATTTCGAATGAAGATGACAATTTAAACAAAAATACTAATTTAAAATTGGTATATTGGTAAATATTGGAATAACATAAGCGTAATACTTCCATTTAGAGTAAGTTGTGACCTCAAAATCACTGAACATGTTCATTTCTACTTTATTATTCATTTATATTTTATATCTGTGTGTTTCAGGGGGACCCTGGAGCCAGAGACTGGTCATATGATGATCAAAGACAGAAAAGGAGGGTCCCCTCGCAGTCGCCGCACCCCCCTGTCCCATCGCAGACAGCTCAGCAAGAGAAAAGACATGATGTTTGTGGGTCAGTTGCTGCATTGAGTTGTACATCTTAAAAGTAGAGTTTTAAAGCGTAGGCCTACTGACTTCTTGCTTTAAACTGCAGCTTATATTGTTGTAGTTCTGCGCTCTGGATGGAAGACAGAAAAGATAAGAGCCCATTCTTTGGAAATAAGTATTCTGAAATATGTTATCTGGTTGCATTGTGGGGAAAGTAGGATGAAAGGAAACAAGCGGCAACCGCGTATGAAAAGTGAAGCCAAAGCAATAAGTGCCTTGATCCTGCATTCTCTCTGGAGGTCACCTGACTCAAAGGCAAAAGATAAGTCAGATTTGTAGAAGTCTATAAGAAAATGACCCTGATTCTCAATTGCTTGTTTCAAGCTTTCAAAACAGACTGATGATCAAGAAGTAAATTATGGTCCCATTAAAAGTGGAATATGTTGAAGCAGCATGTTTAAGGGCATGGCTAGCTCGTGATTGACAGATCATACCACAATGTTGTCCAGTGCGGCTGCTATCTCTTTGACCTATTGGCAGTATTCTTTCAGTTAACAAAAGTAAATGTAGCATTACTGTATGTTTGCCTCAGACATTGAACAGTGTTGGGTCCTATTTAACTTAACTCTCTCAAGTTTCTTGTCCCAAATAAACAAAATGGAAACATCTAAACAGCAAGATTGAACTATATTTTGGCCTCTGCTGCATCCATTTTGAACATTTTTCATTTAAAATAGCCCTTAGAAGCGTCCCAACTCTGTGGAAGTCCTAATACATTCTTAGAATATACCTTCACAAAATGCTTTGAAATTAAATGATATAGTTGCAAATCTTAGCAATGATTGTGGCTCTCAAACTGAGCCGGCTGAATGAAATGTTTTGCGTGAACAGTTTTGATCTACTTTTAAGTAAACATGAGCCTTTTTTAAGAAGTTTGTAATGCTCATTAAATGTTTCAAAACATTGTGGTCTTCTGAGACCAATTTAATGACCGTTTCCTGCTGAGTCTTATACTTTCTGCATGGCCTCAGTGCCATCAAGGGACTACTGTGGTCACCTTTGACTGTAATTGCTCCGAGAGGCAGATGCAGTGGAGGCATTTGTGTTATTATTTAGCCAACATATAATTCTCTAGACAACTATCAATGCTCTCCATTATTATGTGTTTCACCTCTAGCAGAGTCTTTAGAACAACAGTTCATCCCCTCAAGGAGAGTCAGGCAGGATGAAACCAGACACAGAGAGCTGCAAAGATAGATTATAAACTGTGTGAACACATTTAGCCTCTATAGTATTTAAATAAAGTGATGATCATATTGAAGGAGAAGGGCCGAATCAACTTAGAGCGTACTTACATAACTTATAGCAACGTTTTTGTGCATGCAAAAAAATAAACTTATGAAACCTGAAAATTGGCATATAATGTCCTCTTAAAAATATTCTGACAGGGGAGAAAATAAAGAACACACCTCAGTGAAGGAGTGGAGGAACATAAAACATGCCTTAAAGGGGGAACTGAGAATAAAACATGCTGTGACTCCAATCCTGTGGCCTTTTCAATAAGCAGTTAGAATTAGAGATGTTGTTAAACAGGACTCTGTCTACCTCCAACATCAGAACACAAAAAAAGGAAATACATTTTTGAACGATTTTCAGAGTTCAAGAGGGTTGATAAGTCCCTGCCAAAAAGCTCTGGAGCTGCTGGATACTGAGGGTAAATGTTTTTTTTAATTTAATTTGTCACCCATCTGTGCATTTGCAGTCTTGTAAATGATTTTTCAATTTCCTGGATCGCACCTCTTTCTGCCAAGAATCACCATGGAAACCAGACAAAAAAGCTCAATACTATCAGGTCCACTTTCATTTGTTTACTGCTTTAACAGCATGTAGAGAACTGCTAAATAAGTGAAATATCATTGAAAAAACAGGAAGTACTGTGAAAGACACATTTCCTTCTGTTCCAATTAATATAGAGAAGAAGGTATGTTTTGACATAGAAATTGTATTTAAATATACATTAAATATACAATATAAATGTTGTGTTGGCAGTGGGGGGATGGACCCAGGAGGACCCATCTTGTTTGGTAGAGCAGTTCTGTCCTGAGTACAATGAGTGGCGGGCTGCAGCACGCATGGTCAACAATCGTGGCAAAGTGGCCGTGGGCACGCTGGACGGCATGATCTACACAGTGGGGGGGGAGGACCACATCCGCTGTTACAGCAGTGTGGAGAGGTGAGACACAGTACAGGCTCTGGAAGTCTTTGAGTGACAGGTTGTGCATTCATTTATTTTGTATCTCCAAATGTCCAACTTCATATTCTCTCCTATGTCATGTTTACCTTTCTTGCTCTGAGAACCTCATTTCAGCATTTAAACCCATTGTGTTTGTTTCCTTCCTCACATTGGATTTCATACCCATTATATCAAAGTGCTGATTTAATAAGAGGCTGTGAATTTCTTATCAGAAAAACAGCATCAATTAGAAATAAGAAAACACCTAAACACTTACTCCATGACATAAACGTTTTTTAAATCAGGCAAGGCTGGAATGGCATCCAAAAATAATGAACATCGAACAAAACCAAAATAAAAGCTGTTATTTTCAATATCACAAATATACTTATAAACATGTTTTTTTCAATTCAATCATCACATACAGTACATATGGAACTAAATCTTAGGTTCAGCATTATGACAGAGATAGCTCTTTATGTATGTGTTGTTGTTGTGTACATCACTGAACAGCAGAGGTCAGCATTAAGGCAGAAATTCAATGAAGACCCTCAGACCACAAGCCATCTTTTTTTGTCAGAGGCGAACTTAAGCCCTCACTCTGGGATTTCCCTCATCTTCATGTTGCCAGGGTATCTATTCCTCATAGGCTTAGAAAGTCTAAAATAATCACACACACACACACACACACACACACACACACACACACACACACACACACACGCACTGCAGTAGCTCATTTATCCCGCTTCCTCTCCTCCTCCTCTCTATCAGATGTCTCATAGGAGCTGGCTCTGTGCCCACTTCCCACAGACAGCAACTCCTTATCTGAGCTGCAGCCAGCTGACCCCGTAATGATCCCCCCCCTCTGGCTGCAGCCCAGCTGACAACGACCTGTCCCAGACTGATCAGCTGTTAATGGCTGAGGGTTGGTGACAGCCGGTTACAGCACTGATATTTGGACGGAATTGCAGACGTCAAGAAAAATAGAAATGCCAATTGAAATCTGAAGTGTTTTTTTGTGGGATGTGGGTTTTATATAACGGCCTTAAATGGAGGGAAAACATTTGTAATAGCCCGTACAGTGGAGAAGAAACACTGGCAGATGTTTACACAGATGCCCAAAACATTTGTATTTCTCTCAGTGCCGATGTCTTCCAAAAGCACACAATTGCAGACACCAAAAACAAGATATACACACATGTATATGAAAGCATGTGCCTGTGTTTGCTCCACTCAAGTTGTTATTGGCAAAACCTGATTTCACACTTTGACATCTGCACTCCTTGACCCCCCTCATGGCAGGTATAACCCCGACACAGACAGGTGGAGCACAGATGTAGCACCCTTGAGCAGCCCCCGCAGCGGATTGTGCCTGGTGGAGATGGACGGATACCTGTACGCCATTGGAGGACACGATGGCATCGCTGCTATTAATACTGTGGAGAGGTACTGAGTGCTACAAAATATCTATCTCTTTTCTTGATATAACCTGTGAATCGTCTTAAGGGGAGACACTACAGGTACATATGGTAAAGATGTAACTTACATAACCATAAACCTTCCCCAGCTGATACAATTTGTTTTAAATGCAAATGAGGCTTATTCTAAATATGTGCTTCTTTGCTTATATTTCCAGAAAAAGAAACTGAACAAATATTGTCCCATTTCGTTAATTTTTGTGTACATCTTTGTGTAACTCCATGAATCAGAAAATGCTGGCAACACCCAGTAGTACACATTTTTTAATAAATGTAATGTTACAAAAATCTGGCTATTAACAATAGAATGACAAAGCCCTTTGTACAAAAAACCTTTTACAATCAAATGTAGATTAAAATGAAACTGGCAAGTTCAGTGAATATTAGATTAAATGAGATGTCTGGCTCAGAGTATGAGAATTACATCATTGTACAGTAGGCAGCCTTTCAATCAATGTAATGTAAGATTTAATAAAATGTGATACTTAAAAAGAAAATCAAAAATCCTTTTAACTATGTCATCATGACATCAATCTTACCCAAGTTCATAACTTACAGATGTTCAAATATTTTCTAAGTTTTCTAAGCCATTAACTAATTCGAACTTTACTAACTTTTGGTGAATTTTGGAGGAATCTAAAGACACAAATAAACACAGTTAGCAATGAAACAAACACCTTAATTAGAATTGTGAATGTTTTTGCCTAAAATATATCATGCTTTTGCCTCTAGTGTCTTGCCTTACTGATAACAAAGACTGAGTTCAAAACATTTCCTGAACAGTGGGACTACTTGTCATTATTTTTCCAATCAAAACAACAGAATTTAAAAGGCTTCTCTTGGTTTTTCTAAGGAATTTTTTTTTAAATCACATTTACATTTTCTAAGTACAGTAAGACAGGCTGTCTCTTATATATATCTTGATTGAAGTTATAATGATTTTAATTGTCTGACATCTCACATTACTGTAAAAGCAATCTGAAGTGGCTGACTCAGAGAAAGGAACAAAGACATGGTTTAATTTGAGTTATGCAATAGCATGATTCTGAAAGTCAGACTGCTTTGATAAATTGGTGTTGTTAAAAAGATTTTTCTTTCATTGTTCCAGGTATGACCCGAGAATGAACACATGGAGCAAGCAGGCAGCGATGCTGGGCAGACGTAGCGGGGGGGTGGCTGCTGTGCTGCAGGGTCAGCTGTACGTGATGGGGGGCAATGATGGGGTGATGGCTCTCAACTCAGGTGAGATATGTGGTTACAAATAAAAGACCAAACTTAAAATCAGTTGTCTAGAGAGTGATGGCTGAGGAAACAATTGCTCAAAAACACTGTTTGTGTATTTATGCTCCTAAAATGTAATGCTTGAAAGCATGGCATACTTCTAGTGAGTAAGTCCCACTAGAGAGTAACATACAACCTTTAAAGATCTACAGGAGAGCATAAAAAGTATAAAACACATAGATGTCGTAAAACACTACCTGGACCTTCTATCTATACTGTAAAACACCAAAACACAAGACATATACACTGAAGGGGATATCTGCATGTGGGTGACCTAATAACCCTTATAACAGTATATCTTCCTTATCCTTATTGTGCATGTTATAAAACACTTAATTTCAAACCTTAAAACTTCTTTAAAATAAGGGTTACAATACTTCAGGAACCCAAACGTCAAACCTCAGCTCTCACAAACTGTCAGCCCAACACCCAAAGTAATTCAATCTAAAATCAATTCAAACAGAGCAGTCCAGCAAATCATAACAACATAGAAACTGTCACTAACTAATGTTGGGCGTTTTTGTTTTGGTAAATTAATAAGAGGATAAATTGATTCGAAAATGGTTCCCTCCACACATTGATTAATGTTTGAAGTGCTTTCCATTGGAAAACTCAATTAAAAATGCATTCCAAACACTTGTTTTAATTGACTGCCAGAGCTTGTTGAGGGTTTGTGTTAATATGACAAATTATACAAAAACTTTGAATAAAATAATAAACGAAAGCAGCTTCAAGCCATATCATGAATTTATTTATGTGGGAATGCTACCTACCAACAGCCAACAGTTTTATTTTAGCTTGGAGGCATTTTGTGAATTGACTTGTTCCCAGTACTGATGGAAACAAAACATCTCAGCTGTATTTGACAGCGCACACGCGCACACACACACACACACACACACACACACACACACACACACACACACACACACACACACACACACACACACACACACACACACACACACACACACACACACACACACACACACACACACACACACACACACACCACACACACACGCACGCACGCACGCACGCACACACACACACACACACACAACAACATTCCCAAGCCCCTGCCCTCGCCAAAGATAAACAGGGTTATGTTTGCTGCCACTTGTCACCAACTATTTCAGTCTGTGAGAAGTGCACGTATGTGAAATTCCCACAACCATTTTTGGATCACATCAAACTCACGGTCTTTGCTTGCAAAATTGGTTGGAAAATAGTCTTATTTCCAAGTAATTTAAAAAAGACATTTATATAAAAAGAGATACTAAAATGATCGATAGCTAGTTTTTTTCAACAGACACATTTTGAGTGCCTTATGTACACCTAGAATTGGATCAATATACCCTAGACATTTTTCTATATAAATACAAACAACTCAAAGTTAGTCTGGAAAAGTTAGTGTTACTCATGCAGTGTAGACGTGTATTATGTGATATGGCCCCTTATGACTCCTGCTATCTTCTAAATGTCCCCCAGTGGAGCGATACAACCCTGTAGACGGTACCTGGTCGATATGCGCCCACATGCTGAGTCCCAGGGAGAACGCGGGCTGCACCGTGTACCTGGGACACATCTACGTGTCCGGAGGCAGAGACGAGCTCAACCTGGAGCTCTGCGGAGTGGAGAGGTTTGACCTGGACAACATGAGGTGGACTCCTGTCAAACGCATGAGGAGCAAGAGGGACAATGTGAGTAATGGATCACTAAGAGAACGGATCAGGTGTAAGGCCTCCCCTGTGATTTAGGGTCCAGTTTATTTTTACATCCAGATGATAAGAACAGACAGAATGGAGGGAGGTAATGTGACTGACAAGACTGAGTAATGGACACAATTTTCCTTTGGAGATTACCTCTGAATCTTCAGTAGAAGTTACGGTTCTCATTATACAGGGCCCAGAAGGTTCCATGAGACAAATAATAAATATATCGGGGTCACGATTTATTATGAAGCGCATGAGATAAGTATTCAGAGAGCCAGCACAACAGACCAGCCTGTCTCTTTGAAGCATGCAGTGAGATGCACCTGCTTGAAGTACATGCATCCACTGGTGGTAATCCTCAGGGTTTCCAATTGACCATCTTCAAAGTCAGTATGTTGCCAACGATAATCCACAAATTCTGAATATCTGACTTTTAGAGGATTGCACCGGCAATTGCACCTGCAAGGATTGTTCAAGGACCTTACAGACCTCAGAGAAAAGGACTCAGGGCATAATCAGGGATATGGATTAATAACTGTAAAAATACTGATCATTTGTATCATAATAACTAGCAGCTTTTATAGAAGAACATAGAAAACTAAATATCAAAAGATCCACTTCTAGTCTTCCAGACCTTTAGTATGCCATGTTTGTTTATTTTGAGTTTTCCAATTTCAATTCACAACCTTCAGGGATTTCAAGGACCATCAGGCAGCCATGCTTTTACTAACAATAATTCCCTTGCAAAGCAAGTGTCAGCATGTCTTGATAACCAATCCCATGCTTAAGAAAGACTTAATTAAAGAGTCTCCAAGCATAGCTATCTACAACCAGGGACCAGTGCCTGAAGCTGGTGACGGCTGCACTGAATTTTTTGGCCTTGTGCACTGCCAACTGAGGCAGGATCGTAACATTTCTGTCAAAATCCATTATTTTGGGGGGGGGAAAGCACGTTCATGAACTGTCAACGGGGGGGACATGTTTTACAGCGTAAAGCATAAACTCCCAGACATTTCATGATTTGTACGGCAAACTTAGGTCTGGAAACAATATAATTTCCTTTTTGGTGGGCATCCATAACACGGCATGACACCGGAGCCCTGCTACGGGGAAACTTTGGCGCTGTTGTGAGTTTGTTCTAATCCGTCAAAATAACTGCTTTCAATTTTTTCCGTCATTGTTAAAAAAAATCCGTCATAGACGGAATATATTCGGTTAACGCGACCTCTGCTGCCAACATGTTTTAATTTGGGATCAGAAGCTGGCCAATGTGTGAGAAGATTTTTATAAATGTGAAGTTAAACATTATCTAATTAGATCATTATTGTTTCAATATATTTGTCCCTCTCTTTTGCCAATCCCTGGCTCCATTACAATTGTAATTTGGATCCCACAGTGTAAATGTTTTTCTTTTGATTTTCTACACAAGAACAAAATAAATGTTGGGGGAACTAAATTGTAATCTTTTCTGGCATGCCATGGATCGATTGGCAGGCATCATGTTTATTACAATGTTCACCATTTTAGTTTAGCATGTTTTTGCCATTAAATACAAACAAAGATGAAACCGATAGTAATACAATTAGTGTCGCAAACTCATAAAACAAATACAGATCGATTAGCAATTTTGAGCCGTTGATTGCCCCATTTGAAAAAAGAATGGCTCACAATTATTACAATTCATCCTTAGAGAGACACAAATGTCTGTAGCTTATGTCATGGCAATCGATCCTTTAATTATCAAGACATTCCAGATAAAATGCAAATGTTGATGTCATTGTAACGATAAAGGAAAAGGCATCACAAAACTCATTCTCTGGGCAACATGAATGCACAATTTTTTTTCCAATTGATCTAGATTTTTGCAGAATAGTTGAATCAAAAACGTGTTTAAAAGTCAATGGATCACAAACATTTCATTGCAATTAATTTAATGGTTGTTAAAATATGTTGGTCTTGACCAACATGTGGAAATTAATATCCATAGAGCTATGTTGCTGTCAAGGCTGAAAGATGTGTTGATCGTTTTTGTATGTATTTTTGTCATCTCACACTAACTGTTATGTTTCGTGCCTCAGATGTCCCTTGTAGTGTTCAATGGAGCCTTGACGGCTGTTGGAGGCTCTGATGGTGTCACCAATCTGAAAACAATTGAAGTGTACTGTCACGTAACCAACACATGGAGGTAAGAAGAACATCTATGTTGGGACAACCCATAGATTGTTTACTGCTAACTGCTGGGCCTTTTTTAAATCGAGCCAAGCCATTAGTTATTATTCCAATGTTTTCCCATTTGTTGTTGTTGTTGTTGTGCTTCACAGGGATAATCACGTCCTAAATACAGAAGAATACAATGTATCTTATGTACCAGGACTAACAGTCAATATTTTTTGCATTAGGATAACATTTTTGGGCTTTTGTTTTGTATTATTCTTTTTTGCATAGCAGCCATGACATACTGGCTATACAGTAATCAATACAATGGTAATTGACATGAAAGCATTTACACAATGGGTCATAAACATGCAAACAACGACAACCTTGTATAACAAGTAAAGGTTAGGTTTTATGGTGTGGTGTATATGCTATAGCAAAAGGGGGTAGTGTTTCTTTTAAGAAAACGTTGAAAAAATTATTAAATGAGTTTCCCTGGTATTTAAAAAAAAAAATAGAGCGGTGTATAATAGGATAATATTCAGTTGATAGGATCAATTCATAGCGTGCAGAAAAAGTTGATTGACTTTGGTCAAAGTCATGCAAGACAATAACTACAAGTGTTAAAGGTCCCATGACATGGCCATTTCTACTGATCATAATTCCATTGTTGAATAGAACAGATTTACATTGTTCAATGTTCCAAACTCACATTGGTTTTTCATACAGCATCTCTGTATAGTATGTGTATTCACTCCCCCCCCCCTCGCCCACTCTGATGAGTCCACCACCGTTACAGCGGAACATCAGTGTTTATGTGTTACAATGGCGTTAGCAACCAGAAAATGACACCAGTAATGACAAACAGATGAGAATGCTGCGTGGGGTCTGGGTGCCGTGTTGGCGGGACGTTGCGGGGCTCGCTGCTCCGCCCTTCGAGTCTCGAGGAGCGGACAGTGTGAGCTGGATTACTGGTGTCGTTTCCTGGTTGCTGCATGGGGTCTGCGAGACACCGCGGAACTCAGTGTGTGTGCGGAATTCCGCGGAGCCGCAGTTGAGAAAAGATAAGGCTGAGTGAGTATGTGTGTGTGAGGAGCCGTTACGTCACTATACTTACTTTACTATACCCAGGAAGTAAAAAATGGAAAAAGAAAAATCTCCAACGAGGCTTTCTGGGGCAGCATAGACAGGTATTTTCTGTGCTGGATGTTTTACTCGCTCCAGGGTGTACTTTGAGGGTAAGTGACTTTGTGTTTGTTACCAAAAAAAGCTACATAACACAAAAAGGGCAGTGGCTTAACTATCAATGGTGCAGCCGGTGCAACGCACCAGGGCCCAGAGTCTGGTGAGCTAGCTAACGACCACCACTGCCATCTAGTTCCACAAGTGAAGCTGTATCCGTGGCCGTGGCTGTGCGACCTTCTTCTCCAGCCAGCAAGGAGCAGAGGCTGGATTTGGCTGTGCCCGGCGGTGGTCCAACAGTTCCCCCAAGGGCCCCAACCAATAGGGGGCTATATGGAGCTATTGAGATCCCCGACACCAAGATCAAAAGCTATATTATAGCAACCGGTCCATGTAGGCCTACCGGCACATTCCCCAGAGACAAACATCAAGGAAACAGGTGTAATCCTCTTCTTAGTTCGCTGTGCCGTTGTCAGGCTGTGGTGGTTTGAGGCCAGGGCAGGCTGTTGTTGATAGCCTACATGTGGCGCTTCTGAGTGGTTGTGTATGTCCGTGCGTGTGTGAGCGCATCAGTGTGCGCTTATGTTTGGGGCGATGGGGGGGGGGGCCCAAAACAATATTTGCACCGTGGCCAATCACAACCTTGTTACGCCACTGCACAAGGGGATGGGTAATAACCAGATAAGCATGTCATGGGACCTTTAATAATGAAGAAGAGAATAGAGAATAGTCCAATCATCCAAACTGATTGCTGCTATTCATTGAAATTGAAATGTAACATTAATTAATACTATACATATTTTCTTGTGATTATGAAACCATTATTAGGACATTTCAAGCGTTGGACAAAAATACTTGATATCCAGAGAGTCTGCAGTTACAGCCAGACAAATAAGTCACTTTGTGATTCATGCACCGAGCTCATGTAAGGCTCCTATATCTAATATATGCCTTCAGGCTGCTTACTGAATCTGAGTGCTTCAGTGTCTCACTGTTCTCCTCTCCATCTGTTTTTAGACACTTTGGAAGCATGAAGAGCAAGCATCCAGGAGGCAGAGTGGCTGTGCTGTGCTGAGACTCGACAATGCTCATATTATATGAACAGGACAGAGGTGTTAAAGAGAAATAGCCTAATGGATGTACGCCTGGCTCCACAGACACATTGTGATATGGTTTAAGTAAGGCTGCATAATGGCCGCATAATTGAAGAGTTCACTCTAAAATGAGACATCGCTGCATTAACCAAAGCTGCAGCTGCCGGTACAAAATGACTACACGTAATAAATTAGAGGACATTATAGGCTAGGACATTTTCATTAAAGTTATGGGTCTTTTTATGTGTCGAGCTTAAAAACATACCCTATTTTAGAAGGATGAATGAGCAGCAAATAAGTTTCAGGTGTTATATGTACAGTATTTGTCAGAGAATTGGATTTAGAAATAGATTGCACCATAATAATAGCCAGACCAGCACTGGATGTTTAATATATCAGCAAATTCATCAGCCTTGCAATTTAAAAAATGTCAGAGTGCAATGTTCAAAGTGTCAGAGTTTAAAAATAATCACTGGTGTTTCACAAAATAAGATACCACTTGAAAATATATTGATTTGCATGTAAGAAAGTAACATGTATGAGCCAGAAAGATGGAGGTGATTGGATTCTTTTTTGGGGTTAAAGCAGGATTCAAGTGACAGGATACACAATCTTTTGAGCATTGAGTATTTTAGTCAATTTCAGCCTTGATGTTTTGTGAGGGATATTTTGAAGGTGAAAAACTCAGTTGGCTCTTGGAAGTGGAGAAAGCTACTGAATATTTTAGAAATATGGGCTTGTAAAGCAGCATAATGATACAGAGTAATGATGTGATTTATGTGTTATGAGCCTTTTGGAATTACTACAAAAAAAATTCTGTGTTTGAAATGTAGATGTTCATCATATTTCTATATGTTGTATGTACACTTAGCATCTGGGAATATCTGTGCTGCTATAATATTTTCAAATAGCGCTTCAGCATTGACTGTAAACATATATCATATTTCATCATTTAGCGTGTGTAAACATTTGCCAAAAGGCACTGCAGCAACAGAACTGGTAAGAAAATGGGCTGGATCAAGTTGTGGAAAAGAAATCTGTGGGAATGAAGATCCTGAGTGAGATAAACGAATTAGTGAGATCTGTCTGTTGGCATGGGAAAGCATAAGTGGCTGTGTGGGCTTTGAAATGATGACGCTCAGAGCTCTTTCCCCTGGAGAATAATGGGCTGAAATGTGGAGAGGCTGAGCACAAGGAACGCACACAGAGCGACGCGGCTTTTCCGGAGAGACACACAACCCAGCGGTGTCTCCCTATAGTCACTTGGCGAACACAGAATGAATATTTTTTTCAATATGAGGGGGACGATTGTGAGACAAATAGCAGAGGACAGAGCTCTTGCAGGTATGTTTTTAACAAATGAAACATAACAGATGTTGCCTAAAAGTGATTGTTGATTACTATAAGTTACCTGGGCTTTGCATGCACTGCGTATATCCTCTATTATTGATGTTGAATATATCAAGAATAATCAATAAATAACTTGTTATTTTGGGGGCTGTAGTGGTATAATTCCATTGTAATGTTTTTGCAAAAGTCTACACAGGCAAGTTAATGCCTGTATAATAAAGATTTACTTGCGTCTATTGAATGATATGTAACTGTTATATAGCATTCATAAGTACATGCAGTACAGTTGCACTTTCAACATCTTACCACCAGATGACTCTGACTGATGAAAACACACACACACACACACACACACACACACACACACACACACACACACACACACACACACACACACACACACACACACACACACACACACACAAGATCCAAACTGGCATTTCAAACTATTACAATGCTTATAATGCAATCAAAAAAAGCCACAATCTTGCATCTCCACAACAAAGACAATGTGACTTTATTTAGCAAATGGGATTGGCAAAACATGACGATGCACAATTACAGTTTCTATTCTTAGGTTTATCATTTCACTGAAAGCCTTTTTATGAGAAGTTTTCTGTCAGCATCAAACATCAGTTTCCAAAGAATATACCACAAGTAGCCCACTCGTGTAGATGGGGAGGCACTAGTGAGGGACTAAGCCCCCTTAGTGCAGCTCTGTCCTGGAGAGGAAAGGATGCTGATGCTGACAGGAGGGCATGGAGACCAGCAGGGAGTAAAGCGTGACCTTATTTTCAATACACTAGCCAATGTTATATGACAGCAACACAGCGAAGGAGAAAGCCACAGATGAGGTAGCCTACTTACTGTGATTTTAAGAGACGTAACAGCGGCTGAAAAAGGTTATATTCGAGCTAATAAAGATGAAAAAAGTCACGTGGAAACGCAGGTCTATAGGCTAATCGGCAGAATAGCACAAAAAAACAGTTTGTCCTCCTTCCGCCAAGCAATGTAGTTCGTCAACACTAGGAAATAAAGTTGTTGCTAAGCGACAACGAAGTCTCTCTCAGTGGTGACGGATTTGCGAGCGCGCATTGATATTTAAATGAACTGTCAGGTGTGCGATTAATTACTACTGTTTCGAAGGCGTGTCGTCCAATGAGCAACGAGGACCGGGACTAGTTTTTTTTCCTCTTAAACCTAAATAAACCGGCAGCACAGTCAGCTTAGTGCCGATAGAAAGCTAGCTTGTCAACTATCGGTGTTTTTGTCGCCAAGAGGACCTACAGTGGATCGCTTTTATTTGACTGAAAGCTTAAGCCTACTCCCGTGGACTCTTGTCTGCCCTCTGACTGCTGGAGTCGACTTCCCTCCCCTTTTTAATTACCATTTTCAACGATGCCAGAGCTCTCACAGGGGCGCCTGGATGGGAAACATCCTCTATCACACAGGCAATGCTGCACGAGCAGTGCAGGGAGGTTATCTAAACCTAACACATGTTTACGATGATGGGACCTCGGACAGATACGAAAAAACAGCCAGGTAAACCAAGTTAGCAAGAAGTTCACCCATGTGACTTAGCCTATGTTCCTTCAGGAAGCCTGACTTTACTCACAGTGACTTACAAGTTTACTTAGCTTTGATGTATTTGTATTATTGAGTTTATATGCAATAACATGGGACGGGGAATGGTATCTGTAGTATTATGTAAATCCTCTCTGACTTAATAGTGTGTAAGTTTAAATAAACCCTTAAGCTTCATTAGTTTTATAGCTTATATTATGTCATAGCCCACTCCTTAGTGTTACAGTGGTGCTCAGACGGAAGATAGCTAGCTTTGCTGTTGATTGACACCCTAATGCTAATGCTTGACCTAAATGCAGATGTTTTTGGTTTATCAGCTGTGTTCAAGTGAAGTTGCTAAAGTATGCCTGTTTTACACATGGAGGTTGTTGTGTGAGCTTAATGTTGTCACAACAAACTTATCTTGCATATGGTGACTATGATACAAAGAGGAACCCCTGTCCAAAATAATGTATTTATTTTTGTATAATCATACTTTTTGGTACATTTTTCAGATGAAAACCTTAACCTTGAAATCATAATGTATAGATGTGTATGATGGTCCCTGCTTTAAGCTGCGATACAGTAAGTAGGGCATCCACCATGGGCCTACTGCAATACATATTTATGAAGCAGACTGCAGATTTTCACAGACCTTTTTATATGTCAGATTTGATCACACTGGACCTTGTTAATTTAGAGACACATTGTATACTACCCTGCATGTCCCCCCCCCATGCTTCCTCTGCTTTCTTTCTTATACAATTGCAGTTTTCTCTCCATTATGGGAGAAAGCCTCTTTCCGGGAGCAATTCTCCTCCCTGTTGTTGTGGTCACTTTGCCTCATCCATTAAGTCATCCCTCAGAGGTTTTTAAGAGGATAAGACTCATTTTGTTGGACTTCCAGACATCAACTCTTTTGAAATCAATCTTGTCACCTGGCTTATCTAAACCTTTTCCCCTCAATTCAAGTAAACATTGAGGACAATGGTTTCATTATACTTCTGGGATGACCTCTTTTATTTCCTGTTTTCCTCTCTTATCTTTTCCTTTTCCCACCAGGACCCTAATTTATCATCTATCCCCTCTCTTTCCTCTGTCTCCGCTTCTGAGGGTTTGTGCTTTCACTGCTTAATAAGGGCGGAGCATGTGTCTGGAAGCTATTAGCCCACTCAACTCTGCCCACACTGTGCTATGATGACCACACACACACACACACACACACACACACACACACACACACACACACACACACACACACACACACACACACACACACACACACACACAGCTCTGCCTTACCCACTTATTGTTCCCTGTGGAACACAAATCATTTGATTGGACATTTTGAAGCATCTTAGAAATAAGTCTAATATTGAATCACTCAAGTAGAAACATATACACATTAATGAGCCCCTCATTTTCAGCCCGACTGCAAATGCATTCGTGTACATATATTGAAGGTGTTTTAGAAATGTGTTCTATTTTTATTTATTTTTCTCTCCTTGTGTTGTTTTGTGGGCAGAACATTGGTTTAACAGCACCTTGATAAGGCAATCCTTCCTCACCATGGTTGCACACATAATACCTATACTATAATATACAGTGCAGACTGCTGCCATGGCCGTTTTTGTGAAAAAGAATGCGTCTTTCCATTCTGTAATAAAATTCTGCTTCAGGATTTAATGGTTGGTCCTTGGCTCTTGCTTAACCCTTCCACAAAGTTATAAAGAAAATCTGGACTGGGTTTTTCTGTAATCCTTCTGAGGAAAAGACAAATAATCAATCACACTGAACGGAAAGAATAATTTTCTTTTCGAGATGAATCCACTCACAATATACACGTAGAAACAACATCACTCTTCTGGCATGAGTCAGACAGGGAACACATTAACAATGTTTAACTGTACCGTTAAAGAGCGTTACTGTAATCTTCCTCCGTTTTAAAGAGCAGCACATTCGAGAGACCTTGCTGAAGTCTGGGGGGAGTTAAGCTGCGACACAGGCAGTGAATGTAATCGTATCACATCCTTGCTAAGTGCGGAAGTGCTGAATCTTTAATATGTGTGTTTAAACTCTCTCACTGTTCCCCTTTTTCCCCTTCTCTTGTCCGTCAATCAAAAGAGGCAGCCATGAACCCGCCACGCCGGACATCAAGCCCTCCTCGCCGGACATCAAGCCCTCCTCGCCGGACATCAAGCCCTCCACGCCGGACATCAAGCCCTCCACGCCGGACATCAAGCCCTCCACGGAGACCATCAAGTTCTCCTGATGATAGGTAATCTACCGAATCCCCCTGTATGTGACACTGTAGGAACACATACACAAAACCACTAGGCAGCCAGCTTTTATGCATTACACACACAAACGCATGCTGTCATCATGAAGTAGGCAGTTTGTCTTTTCATATTTGTCACTGCCATAATCTGTGGTCTACTGTGATGGTGGCAAACAGTCAGTTCTTCTTTTTTAATTATGCACGCGCTTGTATATGTCCATTTTATTTTGTTAAATAAAACACGACACTCTCTGAGTGGACACTTGTTTCAGGTCCACGTTTTTTCTTAAACCATCTGTCAAAACATTTTAGGTTTAAACTTTGTTGACCGAAAACAGCTTACGAGTTCGGCTAGAATCTTCACTCAAGTGTAGTAATGCATGCCATGTTCACTTAAAATCTGTATTCATGGAACACATAAATGGGCCCTTTTTTTCCCTTTGCACTGATGGTTGTTGTCCAAGATGAATGAAGCAGAGGCTTTCAGTAGCACATAAAGCCCCCGGACATTGATTGTTGTGATTTCCAACAGTGCGTTGTCATTATACAACCCTGTAACTGCCCTTAGACTTCCAGCATTTAACCTTCCTCCCAGTCATTGTCTTATATTTATCTTATCAAAACAACCGAAGGTTTCTTATTATGTTAAGATATTCCATTCTTTTTCTAGATTTCAAGGTTCAAAGGTTTAAATGTCATGTGCACATAAGCTACAGTGTAGAAATGGCAATGAACATCTTATGACCCGAGCTCCTCCAACGATGCAACATATATAATAAAATACAACTAAAAAATAGTGCAAGAAGACTATATACATGTAAATAGATTATGATTTATACAAGAACAGAATGTCAAATTATTGTACCGTAAGATTAAATTAAATATGGTTTATTACGGTGATAACTATTTAGATATCTAATTAAATTACAACAGATGAATGTTTATCGAGGCACTTAACAGAGCTCAGGTGTTCAGCAGTCTTATTACCTGTGGAATAGCAGAAAACATGTTGTTTAGCAGATTCTGCTCTCCTTCTCCCTCGCAGGCCCTCCACTGAGAGCGTGCAGATGAACAACAGCAGCAACTCCGGCGTGATCCTGGACATCTCGGCTCTCAAGATGGCGGAAGTGGACACGGAGGTGCCTCCTCTTCCACCTCGCTATCGCTTCAGGGACTTACTGCTGGGGGACCAGACCTTTCAGAACGATGACAGGTAAAGCACTTGTAATACGAAATATGAGAGACTGCTTTGAGTTGACTGTGTGTGTGGGCGTGTGTCCATACAACTCATTTATGTTTTCAATTGTTTATTTGATTCCACTTGGAGTTAACTTTGTGCTGCGTGTTGTTGTTTCACACTGCTGTATCCGTGTTTCCGAGCAGCAGCTTCATCTCCTTCTACCTTGGTTAGTTTCCCCACATTTCCAAGAATGACTTCTCATCACAACCCGCTAGCATTGTGGTATGACTTATATTGAGCTGTTTTATGAGTAGGTGGTTGGAGCAATGAAAATAGAAATGGAGTGAGGTTTTTAGTTTTGTATTGAGAAAGTGTCTTGCAACTTGCACACATCTTGTGGCTGAATGCACCGTCGACTATATGGAGTACTACTGGATGTTGCTTTTCTGTCTCTGTGATTTGACCTTGTTTAATTGTTGCATTAGTGCAGTTTTGTAAACAAATAGCGAAGACGCAAGGAACATTACAAGTCGTGTTAATATGGTCTGCCTATTTTTAGATAGATGTTCCTCTTGCTTCGCATTGAGCATCAAACAACCGTGCCTTGGCCCTTGACTGGTGCTTTAGTCATGCTGAAATGTTTGGGAGTCTACTAAGAGCTACATTATTGCCGTGTCTGAAAGGCAAACCAAACAGATGCTTTTTGCTGCCCAAGAGTGGGAGACTTAGCCGAGCGTCAGCCACGGCCGAGCACTGCGGAGCTCTCCGTGGTGCTGAAATGACGCCATCTCACTGGAGGATCAGCAATCACTTCAGCTGGGGCTTCCGAAGACCAAACGGAGAGCAGTTCTTTATCCTCTTGCTCTGTCAGTAACCTTAAATCTAAAGCTGACAGGAGATTCTCAATCTGAACTCAGATCAGCCACGACTGTTGCCTTAAGGGTCGAGGTTGCTAAATAAACTGAAGAAAGACAAAAGGAAAGGCAGTAGCTTCAACTTCAGTTCCACATCACAATAAAACTAACGCTATATAGGATATACACCACTTAAACCTCACCTCCCATAACATCTTACTGATCTCTTTCTTTTATATACCTGTGTACATTTGAAGGTGTGTCACAACTGACAGTACTTAGGTATACATCCTTCTCTTTCAAACCTTGCTTGTTGTCTCATTCAGGAAAGAAATGGCTTGATAACCATTGCATTTATCCCGCTGTGTAACAGTATCGTTGCTTTATAGTTTTACCGCTGGTTGAATCTGACACACAAGCCACGTGTTTGTTATCTCTTTACTCCAGGCTCTCTGTTGTGCGTAGCAGCCACAGCCATGTTTCGCCATGACTGGATCACCTCCCATGGCTTTTGTGTTTCGCAATTACCTTATTGATCTCCCTCTTGGATTAGTGGGTAGTGAATATCATCACTTATGAAATCTCATTTTGCACCAAGGGTTCTGTCACATTGGTGTTTTTCTGTCACCATCCGCTCTTTCTCTGTCGCTGGATCTCTGTGTTTGCTCCCCCTCTGTCTCCAGAGCTCCTGCAGTGAATTGCTGTCAGTATGTTTTATATCAAAGCGAGCTCTTTTGTCTTCACATTTATAGCAGCAGTCTAGTATTTGACCATTCCCCCCACACACATTGGTCTATGTGCGCTCCCAAGGGATTCAGCGATGTCTTGGTATTCAGACTACAGATCCTTATAGAATTTGTATTTCTAGCTGCATGCCAGTTTTATCAATAGTGATGACATAACAAATGCCTGTAAGCAAAGGAAGAAAAAATAAGCAATTCTGACTCACAGTATGGATTACACTGAATAATAATGACATGAACCTTATCTTTACCTTACCTCATCTTTAAAATACGTATACATGCATGCAGCGTCTTGAAGACCTTGAGATGTTTGAATGTGTCTATCAGGCTGCTTCAGAATGCATGTTGTATTCCCGTGTGTGTTTCGTCCAGTAAGTCCCCTGTGAATTGTTTTGTTGATCACTATTCAATTGCAAAGGGTAATTAGGGTGTGTTGCTGGGCTACCAACACTTGTTTGCCTCAGTGTGTACATGACATGTGTTTGTACATTGTGTGTGTGCTTATGCTCAGTCTTGTCAAACAGCTATTGAGTAATACACAGATACAGCCTTTGTTGCTTCAAAACAAATAACAGCTGTAAACTGCAGCTTCTGCACACCTCTGCACACCTCTGCACAGTGCGTGTTAGGAAATGAATGAAGATGCAAAAGAAGATAAAGCATTGTTATTGATTGCGTTTTATGGCGCTGTTCTATAATTGTTTCCGATCTCTGGAGTGGAAACGGAGGCAGACCACGCCGCGGGGATTTGGTGATGCTCTATTTCTCGGTTGATGATCTTCCTCATGCTTCTTCTTTGTGATGTTGATTATTTCCTGTGCTGATGCCTTGTCGAGTGTAAAGCCACGAAGCAAATGAACCCCCTGAGGGAGAGTCAGAGTCCCCCCCCCGTCCCTGTCCCTCTCCGTGCCCTGATAGCCTTTTGCATCTGTTTCATTGCATCTATCATGGTGGGCTATGAGAGGGAAAGGCAGTGGAAGGAAATACTCAGGCAGTGATAACTCACCAAACATAATAACATCGCTAGAAGGGAGCCTGCTAGGGAGTTACAAGAGCGGTTATGCTCAAACAGCTTGTAGAAAAACGCATATCAAATAAAAGTAACATTACTAGTGTCAATGCACTAAAGAAATAAGGATGCGCTTTACAAAAACGAAATATTAAAGCAGTTTTTACTTCCAAAAAGGAGCCGGTGATGCATAAAGTCCTCCGACATGTTATATATTGTATAGTAGTACTGTAATACAATTAATCTTTGACTAATTGTCTGAAGATATGAATGACCACATAGGAATGGTTAATGAAGGAAATGAAATGTAGGTACTTCAAAATCCCACATATCCTTAAAGTAGGGCTGCAACAATGGTGTAGTGTTTACGGACTTTTCTTTTCTAGAGAAAGTACCTTCCATTACAGGTTGCAAGTTATGAGCAGTTTAACTGAAGAGTCATATTTCTTTGCAAGTTGAACAAATGTAACACTCTACAGAAGTACTTTCAGAGCGGACTGGACTTGAAGGGAGACGGCCTCAAGAGTTCTGAAACGCAGCATTTCAGAAGGCGGTTGAGGACGGGTATTTTCAGAACGTCAGTATGGAAACAATTGTGTATTCCTGAACATTTAAAGCAGACCCTTTTATTGGGAAACCAGGCATTATATGTTTCCTGTTAATGTCTGACAATCTCAACAAATTCAGACCAAGGTTAGGAGAGAAACACACAACAGAAGATTGCAGTGTGTGTGTGTGTGTGTGTGTGTGTGTGTGTTTTGTCATTATCTTCAGGGTTGGGTGTAAGAGGGCCATAATTATGGCTTCGCTGTGTGGGTGCTGAAGAGGAGCAATCACACTGAAGTCATGAAGTCTGACAAGCGATTGGTTTGTGTGTATTGTCTGTACAGGTGTTCATGTATATGGACACCGGTGTGCACACCTGAGTGTCTGATTATACATCAGTGTGTGTACGTGGGTTTATCTCTCTGTCTGTCAGCCAGCGGAGGGGGCTAGCCTTATCGTCAGAAATAGAAACAAGCCACCATGACACTTTTATACACACCGACAGGGATGGAAGCAGAGCAGCAGAGAAAATAATTGGTTCCATCTATCTTATCCTCTGTGTCTCTAATCTTGTTTTATTCCTCTAATCAAGGCAGGATTCCGATGGGAGTAATGTGGACAGAGTGAAGAGTGTTGATTGGTCACTGGTTCAACTGTAACACCTCGTCGTGAGTCAAATAGTGGCTCTTGGCATGGTGACCCGACACTGACGCACGTTCTGCTGTCAGGCAACAGCTAGTCCCAGTCACAGATCATTCACTTGTGTTGCCGCGAAAATGTTTTATCTCTAATATGACAGCTTTTCAGGAGAACAGCAGAGGCCTGGTTTGTAGCTTAGTAAAATGTTCCATCACTTGATCTTTTAATCAGTGGATTTTGATTTGGATTCATTTTTAGAACCAACGTTAGTGAGTTTTCTTCAGCAACATGTGCTTCCTACACAATGTGCTTCTGATTTATCAAAACTATTCTATATTTTGATATGAGGAGAGCAGTTGTATCTCTCTGATGGCTCCTTTAAAAAAAAAAAGAAAAAAAAAAAAAAAAAGGATTTTCCGTCCAGGCACATATCACAGAAACTCTAAGTGGTAAACAGACACAACAATTGTACAGTGATGCTGGCAGCAGCTGTTTGTGTACGAGGATTCTGCGGCAGAACCGACTGCTGGGATTTGGCGCTTCAACGATTTTCCATCTGAGTTTATGAGGCTGATGATAAGATGGAGGACAAAGACAAATGGGGGGGGGGCAGAAGGAGCACACAGTCCCAGAGGAAGGGGAAGAGGACGATGGAGGAGATGACAGATAGAAGAAAGTGAAAGATTCAGATGAGTGGTGATTGACACTGATATGAGGAAGATGATGGGGATGATTAGATCCATTAGGTCACGGAGGACTGAGGCTATGTTTACACTGGAGACCCTCTATGCTCAAAGCCAAAATACTGCTCATTTTACAAACATGTCAGTAGGTTTGTGTGCTATCGGTTATACAGGTTTCATTCCACAAGCGACATTTCATCTCAACTCAAGCTAATTATGAAAATATTGGATCAATTAGATTCATCATTGGATTGAAAGAAACACCTATCCTACGTTAGCTTTAATAATTTAGAATATAACGTGTGATAATAACTTCACACACATCCCCAAGTCCTTATTTATGAAACTGGATGTGAATTCCAATTTTGGCTCATGATTAATTTCCCTTATAGTTTGCTAATTAGCTTTCTGTTTTATTGCTGAGTCTGAGGTCCTGGGATGTGTCAGGCGAAGGTTAACGAGAGGATGCAGAGGGGTGATGCACTTCGGAAAAATTGCATGGACTCGCATCTACGTGTCGGACAAAGGTTAATGCGTTGGACCTTAAAGTTTCC